GTTAAAGTGAACATTTGAGAGTTTTTTTGGTGTTTTTCGACCACCGATGGCGATCGACATCGCGGTCGGCACGATGGCACTAGTGCCGATGATCGGACTCTGGCAGAACCCTTGGAGCTTTCCTGGAGCTCTAAAATTTTTTTTGGCTAAAAGGTTTGAAATTAAGTAAAAAAATTTTTTGGCTATATATAAAACATTAAAGCCCAAAACAACGTCGTTTAGACCAAGGAGGATTCGCATATGGACCCCAACCCGACCTGGGATCTGTGCAACCTGACCTAATAACCTGCTTTAACCAGCATTCAATCGGTCCAGATGAACCGCCAATGAATCGTTCAAATCGGTCTGAACTGTCGAACCGTCGAATCGAATAAAAGTCGATCAAACCAACGTTGACTAGACCGTTGACAGGTCTGGTTCAAGTTTTTTTTATTTTTTTTTATTTTCTAATTTTATATATATATATTATTATTGTTATTTTGAGCTTTATTATCAATATTTATGCATGTTAAAATTTTAAATTTGTTAGAATAAATATTTGATTGTTTTTAATAATAATAAATATGATAAAAATAATAAAAATAAGTAATGAAATATATGGTTTTTTTTAATAAACCTTACAGAATAATAAATAATAATAAATACATAACATGTTTATAAAATAAAGTAGTAATAAAAAAATATTCCCTACCTAGATGATAAAGTAGTAACATGTTTAAATAATGATAATTTTGCCTAAATGTTAGAGAATTATTATTATAAAAAAATACTAAATAAATTAATAATATTACTAATAATAAATTTTCATAAAAAAAGGAATTTTTTTAAATTAATTTTCAAAAATCATAAAAATCGAACTTGCTCCGAAAGTACACCTAGATATTAGAGATTTTTAGAGATGTTCACGTTTTTAAAATTAAAAAAAAATTAAAACCAAAACCCAAAATTTTAAAACCTTAAAATCCAAAACCCTCAAATCTAAACCCTCAAATTCAAAACCCTAAAATCCAAACCCCAAAACCTTTGAAACCTAAACCCAAAATTTCAAAACCCAAAATTCCAAAATCTCGAACCTTAAAATCCAAAACCTAAAAATCTAAAATTCTAAAAATCCCAAATTTGGCACACAATCCCAAATCATCACCTGAAAGTCACCAAATCTTTAAAACCTTGACCTAAGTCTTTACTCAAAACAATTTCAAAATTCTAAGGATACGTGTGAAAATCTCAAGTGAAGTAATTTGTTCCCAAATACCGCATAGATGATGGGGTATTTAGGAAACTTTATTCCATTAAGTTTTTCAAGTGAGTCCTTAATTCGCTTAAACAAAGGGAGTTAACAACTAATCAATAAATAAAAAAAGTATAATAATAAAATGAGATCTTAAATATAAATAGTCATATCTAAGTTCTGTCTAGATGTTGGAGAGTCAAGATGATCTCATTATATTTAAGAATCCAATTTCAAAATTGCATTTCATCATTACCAACAACATATTTTAATGCATCTATTTATTATTGATTGCACTCAATTCTCATGTTTGTGCTTTTACTTATCATTTGTTGTCTAATAATACCATCGTTGGCATTTTCGCATAAAAAATATGTTTAATTTAAAAATGTGAAATAAAACAAAAATAACATCCCGAAGAGAATAATTTTTTATACTCTACCTAGATCTTAGAGAATTATCAACAATTATCTTTCTCAAATAATGTTGTTTTTTTTTTAAGAGATATCGTGGTAAATATCAATTAAAAACATTATTTTCAAAGTTTTGCCTAAACATTGGAGAATTTTGAGATAATTCTTTAACTTAAATATTTCTTCGATATTCCTAAATAAAGAATTTTGATAAAATTAACTTTTTTTCTTTTAAAATAATAAAAGGGAATTATTATTAAATTTCAAACCAAAACCATTTCATCCAACACCAAAAATAACACATGATTAAATGATATCAATTTATGGGCGTTGTGGGGATACTAAGTCTTCCTCACCCATAATTGACTTTTGGACCCAACCTAATTTTCGTAGATTGAAATTTATCTTTTCGATAAACTTTAAACCCGTTTTTTATAGTTTTATCAAAAAGATAAACTTTTGAATGATCAATCATACCTTAAAATATATTGGTAACGACTCCTCTCATTTTTTCTCAATTTTTAAATTTTTTATATCTGACGATCCCAAAATTATTACGATCAATGATCAAGATGAAACCACATCACTAGTGCAAAAACCAAGGTGACCTTTTGGTTCCCCATCTTAAATGTAAAAAAAAATCTAAAAAAAAAAAAACAATAAAATGCATGTAGTGACAGATAACGTGTCATGATTCTTCCCTACCAATGGATCACGTTTAAGATGTGTTTAATCTAACCTCAAATTGCTTAAGGTTAATTGACCTCAACAAACATTGACCGACCTAGACCAAAGGAGTAGTGCCTTTTAAGCTCAGACACCGTACGTGCTACTTACCCCATCAAGGTAATCTGAGGCTAGATACACATCCAACGGATCAATACAAGGAAGAGATAAACATAGGCTCTCACTACCCTTCAAAACAGATCGGTTTGACACATTAGACCTTTTGACGAAGAGACAAAATGGTGAGGATATTTTTAGGTTCAGAAGGCAAGTCGGTCCTTTCATTGTAAATAATGAATTAGCAAGGTTAAAAAAGCTTCTTGGACATTTGGACCAAGCTTATATGGCGCACCTACCTTATTTCTTGAAGTTGACCTCAGCATTGCCAAGACAGTGTACCACTTGATAAGAGCATGACATGCTGGCATGTCTTTTGAACATTGGGAGCATGCCAACCATGTCGGCACAGTTCATTCCACGTCAGACCAACCTTCGGTTCACCAATTGGGTCCTTTCGATCCGACCACTTCCCCCTACAAATATAAATACTCCTTTACATTCTAGGTAAAAAGGGAATGCAAAGGAACCGAATCCCTATAAATCCCTATCTAGCATTTCCTTTTTCCCTCTCTTATCTCTCTCTTTCTTTTTCTCTTTTGAGCACTTACTTTAATATCAGATTACAAACGCCTAAAACACCTTCCGGCCTTTGTTTCTAACCGATCTCTGTGCTTGTGATTTCAGGTTTTCATCTTTCATATCAAGCTTGAGACAAACAACATCCATATATAATCAACTGAATAATTAAATTATTACATTATAATCAAGTTATATTCATTAAATAATCAATAAACAAACTAGTACATAGCTATACATCCAAACCCACATATGATAAGACTTAAACCTATAACCTCCTCCTCATCCCTAAACTAAGACTTCATTAGCAGAAAAATTATCTCTCGTCTCCTCAGATTTCGAGGAGCATGTTAGACCTCTATTGAGGTCATTCCTAATGCTTTGCATTTTGTATTTATACTTTCTTAAATTAGCCATGACGAAAGTATATTTCAAGAGTTTGGTCCACTAAGTAGGGAAATAGACACAGAATAAAAGAGAATAAAAGGGACTAGGAGAGAGATTTGACCTTTTTAACTAAGTTTTTCTATGCGGCTTGCGAAGACCTTGACTTTGACAAAATGAGACACTTCAAAATCAACCGTGAAGTTCTCTCCTTCGTGAAAGCCAATGGTGACCTACTCAATTAATTCTGAAAGAGTGCCATTTTATGCTTCTCCGATCTTTTAGCTTGTTCATATAATATTTATATCTTATTATATTCTTACCCCCTGCATTACAATTACATCCTTTCTTCTAGAAGTTTATTTGTAATGACATTAAAAATGAGATTAATTGATCATTCCTATAAAGTGAAATGAGATTGCTCTTGTGAGGATATCTCCACACTTAGAATTTAATATTTTAATTTTAAAATTTATGACTTTGAATTTGAGATGTGAGGAGACCTTTTTATAATTAATTAAGAAAATCATCACTTTTTATATAATTCACCATCATATATTAAAAATTATAATCTTGAACCTTTTCAATAATGTTTAATATATTTGTTTGAAACGGAAAAGTAAAACTTTCATGCTTCTTACGGATGATTAATTATCATTTTTTCATAAGGTATACAGTTATTAATCATTTTAAATACTTTTCATTTAAAAAATAAATGGTATACAATTATTAATCATTTTAACTAGTTATTAATCTGACCACTAAGTCAAGTTCAACCCCAAACTTAAATCTTTTAAAGTATTAATCGGGCTCCGTTCACAAACATCTCTACTTCTCATTGTCTATCTCACTCTCTTAAATTCTCATTTTCATGTATTTTGAAAATTGAATATTTATTTTACATAAGAATTACTTTGTAACATTGTAATAGATTTTCCATTGATAATTAATTCACAATCAAATTCATGTTTCTCTTAAATAGCTATTTTAAATTAATTTAAATATACTCAAATTCACATACATGATATAAATTTTAGACGCTCACATAATTCATTAACTTGTATAATTCATTAACATATAGAATTGTGGTCGATATATATGTTGCCTACATCATGAGGCCCTACAACAACAATGGATGTTAATTTTTCATTTTGGCTTTTGAGAATAAATTATTTTCAATTTTACAAATTCCAAATTAAATAAGGTTCGTGCGTGAGTCAGAGAAACGCTTGGCGTGTTGAAGTGAAAAGGAATGGTCATTCACAACTATTTATAGAATGGATAACTAACATTTTCAGACACCAAACTTAGTTATTTCTTACTTTTACTTTACCTCTCCCCAACATAATTTACCTCATGGGAAACATTCCCTTCGTCCTCGATCTTATGCTCGTGGTAATTTCCTTTCATTTTGTGGTTAATTTGTGTGTGGAATCAGCCGACCATGTCACCACAGCACAATTGGCTCTTCTTGAACTGAAAGCCCTTGTCAGTGATGAGCCTCAAAACCTCTTGGCAACCAACGGGTCTAATGTACTTCCATTTGCATTTGGGTTGGTGTCACATGCGGATCAAGGCACCACAGAGTTACGGCTTTGAGTCTTTCAGGGATGGGTCTCAATGGCACAATCCCACCTCACTTGGGAAATCTCTCATTTCTTGCTTGCCTCGATATTTCAAATAACAGCTTTCATGGCTCAATACCCATCGAGTTGTCTAATTTGTGTCGTCTGAAATATATAAACTTTGGTCAAAACAACTTCAGTGGGGAAATCCCATCATGGTTTGGTTCTTTCACTATACTTCGAAGCCTGTTTTTGTATAGTAACAACTTCAACGGTGCTGCTCCATCGTCATTGGGCTATTTGTCAAACTGGAAGAGTTGGTCTTATTTGAAAATTATCTGGAAAGCCAGATTCCCGTAGCAATCCGAGATCTTTCTAACTTGAAAACATTGAATTTGAATACTAATCAGCTGTCAGGTTCCATATATGCCTTTTTTTTTCTCAATCTTCAATTCATCTTTATCTACAAATAAAAAGTTGATTTGATCAGAAGCTAAATGACAAATAATCTCACTGCAGGTCACATCCCATCAGATATGTTTGATGTCCTTCCGAAATTAAAATTTCCATCTTTGGATTATAACAACCTACCCTGTAGAATTCCAGCCAGCTTATTCAAGTGCAAAGAGTTAGAACATTTAGACTTGCGTTACAACTCTTTGGAGGGAAGTAGCCCTACAGACATCAGGAAGTTGACTATGCTCAAGAAGTTATTTCTCAACCGGAACAACCTCGCAGGTAGGCTGAGTCTAATGCCTTTATATATAATATATGCTGTCCATAAAAAAAGCAAAGAATTACGCTAGTCAAAATGATATCTCAATACTCACAAGGATTAATCTAGTTGGTAAGGAAATCAATTTTGTCAATTAGGATTTGATCTTTGAGAAGTACTTTGAGAATAAAATTCTAAATTTACCAAACCGATGTGGGAGAGTACATCCTAAAAATTGACTGAAGAAGGAATTAGGTCTAGTCAAAGCAAAAAAAAAAAAAAAATCTCCTAATTACATTATTTAAAAAAAAAAATGTTGCCTTGAGTAATTTGTTCACTAAGACTTTGTTTCTGATTGGTTATTTTCAGTAATAAATTTTTAAATTTATTTAGATGTGTTTATATTTGTGAATATATTCATATTTTGAGCAAAAAGTTCAGATCTAATTTCTACCTTCGAAAACATTTATTTATTTATTTATTTGGATCGGAAATCTTTCTTTTAACTCATGAAAACTGTCTGGAAAACAATAACCTTTCAGGTTCCATTCCTTTATCAATACTCAATATGTCTTCATTGCAAGAAATTTTACTTGGCAGCAACAAACTCTCAGGTCATCTCTCATCATATGTGTTTGATTATCTTCCTCCGTTACAATTTCTTGGTTTGCGTGAGAATCAAATTTCCGGAAGAATTCCAACAAGTTTATTCAGTGCAAACAGCTAGAATACTTGTACCTGTTTAATAATCTATTGGAGGGGAGTGTGCCAGCAGAGATTGGAAATTTGACTTTGCTTAAGTCATTGGATGTTAGCAGCAACAACTTCAAAGGTGAGCTAAAGACCACAACTCTTTTTGGTATACAGCACATCTATATATAACATACATGATGATTGACATTTATATATTAATTCTTTTTTTAGGTTGTGAATTTTTTATTTTACTTTCAATTTTCATTTTATAACAAAAAATTTTACAAATTTTCATTTATAAAAGGTTAATCACATTTAAAAATTTAAAATTACTTTCAATTTCTAAGGTTTCACGCTTTGCAAATAACATGTCTTGCAATTTTTTTTTTTCACATATGAGGCTTTAATCTTCATTAATTTCATTATCATAGTGGGACACTGTTATACTCACCCAATAAAATTAAGAAAAAAATCCTTTAGAGAGTGTTTGGTATGAAGTGATCCATTTAAAAATTACAATTATCTGCATTCAGTAATTATAATATCTTATTTGGTAACAATTTAGAAATCCTACATGCCAATTATCTTAAATTACGTGAGTGATAAGATCACTGCCTTAAGAAATGATTTAATTCCCAACCTAAAGGATGGACAAGTTTCATTACTACAGTAAAGTAATTTTCAATATTATTTTTTGATTAATTTATCCTCACAAAAAACATAATTAACATTACCTCAACAAGCTAACCACTAAAAATTTCAAGAAATCAGTTTTTTTAATCACTTATTTTTTAAAAAATTATGTTATAAATTTATATTAACTAGAAAAAAGTAATGAATTTTTAAAAAGATTATTTTTATCAAAATTGATTTATACTTTATAGCTTTCTATGAAATAACATTTAACTATTTTATAAATTGTTGATTCAATAAATATTAAATATTTTGCCTTTTTTTGCAAAGTTATTTTGGATATTTGGTACTATATGATTTATTTTTTCATATAATACCAAACATAGTCATTTAAAAGCACTTATGATTTGTAATATTATACTAAACATGATAATCTAAGATCACTAGTGATCAAATCACTTTAGTGATTTTATTATCGTGTTAATTAGATCATCACGGTGATTTTGAAAATTATACCAAACGTTATCTTAAGGTGATGTTTAATATAGAATACATATTAATCACCTCAAAAATTATGATAATCTATTCCTATAGTGATTAGATCACCATGTTTATAAAGAATTTGGTGATCTTACATAGTGATATATGATATTATCAAGAGAGATTAAATCACTAGTTTAAAAGATAATCTAATTTTCATATTATAAAAGGATGGGAAATATTTTATCATTAAGGTGAAATGATATGTAAAATTAACTATTGTATAAATTAAAAACTTGCTTCCTCTCAAAGTTGTAATTATTTTATATTTTTAAGTTTTTACCTTTTCAAAATAATATTCATTGTATCAAATTCAAAAATAAATTTGCATTTTTTTTATCTTTTTTAAGGTTATATATAACATTTTTGTTTTATTTTATTACAATTTTAATAAATTCAGCTTTATTTTCTAACTCAATAATTTTTTCATGTGATGTATATTATAAAAGTTAATTTATCTATTAATAAATGAGGAGATATCAACTTATTCAATGTAAACTAAAAATGTTTTATATTTTTTTAACCATTGATTTTAGGGTTTAGAAGATGAGATTAAGCCATTTTTCTTATTTTTATTTGTTTCTCTTATCACTTGAATCTATTAAGTCAATGGTTAAAAAAAATGTGAAAAACTTTTTTAGTTTTATATTATGAAAGTTGATCCCTTCTCATCAATAAATATCTTCTCAATTTAATAATTAAAATATTACTTATTATGAGTAAATAAAATACTTCTAATATTTTACAAATTATTATCTTTAAACAATATTGAAATTCTTAATTTGTGTAACTATTAAAACATGATTTTTTGGTACTTTCAAATAAAATAATATTTAATTTTTAATAATGTAAAACATAATTATTTTTAATTTCTAAAATTAGGTTAACTGAATAGAATTATTATCAATCATGATTGATTAAATCACCATAATATATAAAAAGATGTCAATTATTCATGTGCTTTTATTAAAAATAATTTAATTAATTCACGTAACTATGAAATAATATCTAGCAATAAACTACAGTTAAATAATGAGAATATTTTTGTAATTTTATTTTAATATTTTGGTCAACAATACATTTTTCTTGGAATTGTATCTAGTTGGAAAATATTATAAGGTGTTGTAAACACCATTTTATTATTATTATTTTTTTTCTCTTTCTTTCTTCTTTTTTTTTTGTCTCTTTTTTTCTTTTTCCTTCTTCTTCTTCCCTTATCTGGTGCATTAAATGCACCATCACCAAAGTCCAAAATACCAGCGATCGTCACCACCGACAGTCGCCTAACACACTGCCTAACTGACAAGCGTGAATTTTGAGTTGAAAATGTGGGATTCGAATCTCAGAAGATTTGAGATTTGAATTCCAGAAAGTTCTATAAATAGAGCTTCTAACCTGCAAGGAGAATGAGGGATCGATTAAAAAAAACAACCACGAAGACCCAAAAAAAAAATAGTTCTCTAGAATCAAAAAATTTTTCTTTCTGTAAAAAAAATTAAAAATAAAAATCACATAATCCTCCCCGCAAGAAGGAACCTAGCACCGGAGAAGCTACTTAAAAAAAAATCAGTTTTAGTTGAAAAGAAAAAAAATTTGAAAGTTTGAGCCCCGATCTATGCTTATCAGGGTTGTTTTCGATCAAAGGAAGTTTATATTAGTATTTAGGAGGTCGAGGGGCATTTGTGGGTAAGTTTTAAGATTTTTTGACCATCGATGATGGCGGTCGGTGATTAGCGAATGGCAAAGATAACGACGGAGGCACGGTCGGGCGGCTACCTGTGTTTGATCGAGAAAAAAAAAAAGAGGATTTTTTTTCTGGAAAGAAAAAAAATGAATGAAAAAAAAATTTAACTTTTATATAGAAGACCAATAGCCAAAACGACGTCATTTCAATAAACCCCAAAACGATGTCGTTTTGAGACCTGAAGATCCACGCGTTGACCCGTAACCCGACTTGAGATCCGTGCAATCGACCCGACGATCCGTTATCCCTTTTGACCATCGACCGTCCAGGTGAACCAGACCAGACCGTCATCGAACCGTCGAATCACCCAGACCAGACTAGCCTGAACCGATCGAATCAATAAAGACCCAAGTTGATTGGACCATTGACCGGTCCGATTTAGGTAAAAAAAAATTTTTTTTTTTTAGATTTTTTATATATTATTTTTGTTATTTTAATTATTATTATTAATATTTATGCATGTAAAAATGTTTAAATTTACCAAAATAAATTTCTATTGTTTTATAATATTAATCATTATAATAAAAAATAAGAAAAAAAAATTTTTTATCCGACGATGAGATGCAGAGGTACTCCGAGTAGTGATACCTATAAAATCTCTAGGTGATAAGATTTTTTAAAAATATTACCAATATATTAGAATATTTATAGAAAAACTTCAATACAATAAAAATTTTTTCTTCAAAATTAAAAATAAAACAATTAATAAAATTTCTAAAATAGAGAATAAAATGTGTGCATCAACATGTTATTATTTGAATGTATACATGATATAATTTTTTACAAAAAGTAAATTCAGACCTCCAAAAATGAGATTCTAAGGTATTCCGAAAAGCGATGCCTAAGAAATCTTTATGTGAGAAAAAGTTCTTCTAATATTACCAACGTATTGGAACATTTTAAGAATTATTTCAATAAAAAGGCTCTAATTTATTTTTCTCGAATAATATTTGAATATAAAGACAATAAATAAAAAAAAATAAAAAAAAATCAAGAAAGTTAATTTTCAAACACCGAAAATAAGATTATTTTTTTATCAAAATCAAAGAATAACACGTAGTTTTGGTACCGTTTTAAACGGGTGCTGTGGGGGTGCTAATCCTTTCCCACACATAAGCGACTCCCAAACCCAGACTGTTGCGCAGACCCTAAAATTATCTTTTTAATAAATTTTAATTAATTTTAAGATTTCATTAAAAGGATATGTTTTAATAGGTGGCCAATCGCACCTAGCCAAAAAAAGATTGGTGGCGACTCCGTTATTTTTTATTTTGTTTTCAAATTTGTCGGACGAACATAAAACTGTTACGATAGCTTGACGACTCTGCTGGGGATAGCCATTTGTTTTCGAGAGTTAGGCCAAAATTAACTACGTGTTATCCTTAAATTTTGATTTAAATAGCTTTAATTGAT